CATATAACCCCTTATACTTTTATTAGACCCAAATACGCTCCCTTACATTTTAATAGGAGCTTTAATACCAATAGACCTTTAATCTCTAACGTGTATCCAAATAAATCTTTGACCTTTTCATCTATGCTTAATACATTTGAATTCAAATCAAAGTTTAGAACATATTTGAAATAAATTGGGTAAAACATGTTGGAGACGCCTAACGATTATCTTCGATATTAACTTATAGAACACGGAACAAAGACTTATCGGACGAAAGTTTCAACAGTAGCTGTCTTGGGTAATGAGAGCAAAAGTTGTACGGTTAAGGGTGGGATCTAACTCAGCTCTCATAAAAACAAATTTGACCATGGCACAGAACGAAAACCCCACAATATCCCAATGTCTTTGATAAAACTATGTATGAAGGCCATCAATTCTTAGGGCTTTGAGTGGCGCCATAGAAAACATTACATCCTGTAATAAATCGACAATAAGATGGTTGTATTCCAAATCAGACAGGATTAGAAAGAAACTGACAATCGAGAATGAACCAGACGGGGGGTTTTGCGCCTCAAATAAGCATTCAAAATAATCTACGGCAAGATCACACGACCGGTTGAAATACTCACATAACTCACCGTTTTCAGTGCAGATAGAATGAGTTGTATTATGATGACATCTTTGAATAGCCTTGGAATGAAAGAACTTTGTGTTTCTATCACCAACATTGAACCAGTCAGATCTGGATTTCTGTTTCCACAGTTGTTCTTGGTCAAGAACTTGCTTGAGCTCTTGCATAAGTTCAAATTCCAGCTTGATCCTACTTTGGGTCCGATGTTGGTCAAGGCAACGTTGAACGCCGCGAAGACGGGTCATAAGGACACGTTTGTTTCTTTTAATAGATCCAAAAATGTCACGGTTCTAAGAAATTGCAGCTTTAGGGAAGGAACCGATGTTACTAGCCAAAGTAAGTGAGGGGTCTCAATTGTCTAAAAGAAGTCGATTAAAGTCTCGATGGAGAGACCAACCCGAAACATGGCATAACAGAGGCGGACGAGAAGCAAAAATAACAAGAGTAGCAGATAGCAAAAGCGATCGGTGATCAAATTTCATGCGGAGAAGATATTGAAGCATAGCCCGAGGAAAGTGACCAAACCAGTGAGCATTACCCAAACAACGATCAAGGTGAACCTGGCAATTGCCTCGGTACCAGGTCAAATCCAGGTCATGCAAACCACAATGGAAAATTGCGTCTTAAAAATTCGGATTCGGAATAAAAGACAAAACTCCACCCTTTCGGTCATCTATGGTAAGAGTAGCATTAAAATCCCCAATCACAATCCAAGGTTCCGAGATGGATCTAGATAAGGATTTGAGATGAGTCCATAGAGCTTGATTCTTCTAATAATAAGGACTGACATAAGTCAAAGTGGAAAGAAATGAGCGATGCTTATGCATATACAAGATCATGCAGTGAATAAATTGGAAATGACATAAAGAAACGTCAACAAGAACATGGTCATACCAGCAAAGCCAAATGCCTCCTGAGAACCCACACGTCTTCACTCTGAACGAATTGGGGAAACCAAGAGTGTTGATAACCATACCAACTTTGGAGTGACTTATTCAAATTTCAAGGAAAAAAACAGTATCACGCTTACAATCACGGAGATATTGACGAGTAATTCTTGCTACCACAACCTTGACGATTCCAAACAAAGAGCTTCAAATCCATAAAAATAAGGAGGGTTTGAACGTGGACCAATTGCATTAAACATGCGTGGCCATGCAGCCATTTTCACCACTTTTTATTATATTATCGATAATATCAACAGTCATTGCTACGGTATATATGCCATGGGATCTACGTGACTGGAATTCCCTAAATGTTCTGGAGGATCCGGGGGAAGTTGGGGTGGAATATTATCAAAACCTGGTGGGGCGATAGGGTTATCTTCTGCATTTAACTTAACTACTGAAAGTTTCAAAAGGACGAGGGGTATGCGAGATATATCATTGTTTGAAGAGCAGCTGGAACCATCCGTAGAAGTATGAGAACGAGTACTGGGAATATTTGAATTTTGGGACCCAAGAGAGACCACTGACGGCTTATATATCGAGATCTAAGCTTTCCCTTTTTATGCTTTGATTTTTCAAAGAGCAAGAGGAGTTTTCTTTATCAGAATACTGACATTTTGACAAAGGCTCTGATTGAGACCTAGGATTTGTACGATGCTGAACAACAGGGGAGGCTTTGTCATTGGATTAGTCTTCAGAATCGTCTACCACAGAAATAGGGGTAAACTTAGAATTTTCAAAAGGTAAAGCGTTACCTTATTCAATAAAAGTCATTGAATTTCACCCAGAATGACGTAGTTTCTTTTCCACAAGCATCCATGGGCCATATACCTCAGTAACGGTTTCTGTGGGAATAGGTTGAGACAGGGGATGGCATCTGAATCTTGAGTCTCATTAGGACTAGTTTTCTTTCAACACGTATCACTAGCATGACCATAAATGTCTTAGTTAAAACAAATGATCGAAAGTGACTCATATTTAACAATCTAGAGATGCCGATTAATGGTAATCTTTGAGGCACTGAGTTTCTTCAAGTTGGGAGACATCCATTCTCACAAAACACCCACACCGCCCATAATCGATTTTAATGACGGATCCAATTCTAGCCCCAATGAATTCAATCAAACTACGTTTATACCAAGTTATAGGAACACCCGGAAGAAGAACCCAAGCCATGACACGAGAAGGTTATGTTTAAGACGGATTAAAATCCAAAGACTAAGGTGGTGTTTGGTTCACTGGAATGTTTCTGAGGAAATTGGAATCTGTGAAGGAATTGAAATCTGTCAGGAATTGGAATCCAATTCCATATTTTGTTTGGTTGGAGGAAATTGAATTGTAATCCAATTCCATATTCTGTTTGGTTCGCAGACATGTCAGATGAATTTGATTTCAGTAATGTAAAATAACAGGATTGCCCTTATTGTTTTTTTTACTTAATTTTAGTTTGTTTTATAAATTACATGTAGCAATATATTATAAAAATTTAAAAAAAATAAATTTTAATTTTATTGATTGATTATTCATTTCAATAAATTATAAAAATCATGCTAATAAACATCATAAATTAAAATCATCCCAATTAGGGATGGCCATAGGTCGGGTTGGGTCGAGTTTTTGGTCCATCCGAGACCCAACCCGACCAAAATAAAGTTTCACCCGACCCGAATATATGAATTAGAAACCCGACCCGACCCGAAATAATAAAAAAAATTTATTTTTATTCAAAAAAATAAATGACTTAATTGGAAAAAATATATTTATAGAGGGTTATTATTGTAATTATTCTTAAATATATAAGGTAAAATTATATTTTTTTGGGTCCGGTCGGGTAAGGTATTTTTCACCCTAAACCCGACCCCGACCCGAATATCGCACTTAAAAAAACCGACCCGACCCGACCAAAATAAAGTTTCACCCGACCCGACTCGACCCGAATATATGAATTAGAAACCCGACTCGACCCGAAATAATAAAAAAATATTTTTATTCAATATATGAATAAGTTACCAAAAGATTGATGAGGGTAGTATGGTCAAATTTCAATTCCCTCCAACAAGGGAATTGAATTCAATCATAAAATGGATAGAATTCACTTTTCCTCATTTGATTGAAAGTTGAAGCCATGAGAGATTCCAATTCCATTGGAAAACTTGAACCAAACATGCAAAAGTGGTGTAATTGGATTTCAATTCCCCCTAATTCCAAGGGATTCATACCAACCAAACGCCACCTAAGGTTCCAGTCTCATGTAGTGTCCAAAGATTGTCACGGTCCATACGAGAGAACATGAAGATAATCAGTTTTTGACAAGAATTTCACAAGAAAAAAAAAATCATTTTCAATGTGGACGAGTTTCATGGGATGAAGAGGCTTCCACATGCTGTAGATTCGATTTTGAAGAGCACTATATGTCACTCGTCTCCCCAAGATCTTAACGATCAAAGTGAGATCCATAGTTTGTAAGGCGAGGGATTGCACATCTCATCGCTTTCTCCAACATCCAATAGTTCAATATCATTATTATCATGGGCACCATATCTTCTTGGTTTTCAGTTGGGATATCACCAAGAACCATGTCCTTAATAAACAACAGGTTTCAAAGAAGGGGGATGCTGGTGGTCCATACTAGAAGGGGGTTCAACGACGAAAAAGAAAGGCCAGGTGGATTTTCATCACGTCAACGCTGCTTTTTAGGCTGACGCGGATCATCGGGAGGAAAGGTTGAGTCGCTCATTATGGTTTTCTTTAAAAATAATTATCAAAAAGCAAATTTCCGTATCTAAATAATCATCAATACATAATGAAAAGTACACACTAATATGATAAAATTTTAAATTTAATTTATATATTAAAAGTTTCTAATATAATAATTATTAGATATTAACTCAAATTTGAATTAGAAATTAAGTTAGATTTTGTTATAATTTTTTTGATTGAAGATTAATTGATGATTAAATTTATTTAGTTAAAATTCTTTATACATTAAAGATTATTGATTATAAAGTATTTGACTATATAAATAGAGGGTAATTTTTAGTCTTTAAAATTATGAGAAGTAAAATTAATTTGAAGACATACAATCCTTTTATAAACCCACAATCTAGATAAATACGAGGCGTTAACTGAAAATTTCTTATCATCCACTCTAAATACTTTTGACTTAAATTTTAAGTAATCATAAATTTTAAAATTCATTCAGCAATTATATTTATCACAAAATATATAATTACAGGACATTAAGGAGAGAATGATTCTTAATAACTTCAATCAATGATGAACATAAGATTTTATGTTAGATTTTTTTTTTAAATTCTAGGATATTAATTTATAAAATTTTAAAAGATAAAAATAAATTATTAATATAAAGATATAAAAAATATATGATAATTTCAGCATTAACTATGCTCGACTTGTTTGTAATTTTATGTCGAATCAAACTAATTATATGTACAATAAGCGTGGGCCGGTGTGGAGTATGGGGGAGTCGGTGCAGAAGAAACCTCATTATCGGCCCGTTTCCCAAGTTCCAACCGACTGTTTTCAGCAAATTTGACGATTCCTTCATGTAAACCCTTTTGTTTCTCATCATCATTCCATTCCGACATGTAATAGTATTCCTCAGTGGATTTTATAGGGTCTTTCGAAGGACGACGGAACATGCTTCCCCACTGTGGGAAGAGCGAAAACGCAACCGGTATTGTGCAGACAACAGCCGTGACGCCCATCAACGAAAGACCAGTAGCTGTCGAGAATCTCGAGCCAGAGAGAAATACTAACTGTGTCAAACCCGACCCGAAGTTCCCCCCTGCGCTGGTGAGGCCCGATATCAATCCCAACGATCGTCGTGAAACGAATGGGACGATCCCGAAGGTTGCACCGCATGCAGCTTGGGTCCCCAGTGAGAAAAGGATCATTGCTAAGATAGCAATGGGGAATGAGTCAGCTCGGCCGAGCCAGATACAGAAGGCACCTCCTAGTGCTTGGAAGAACCAAAGGATCCATAGCCTGCCTCTCATGCCGAACATTCTTGCTGCTACATCAGAGGCGTAGCCGCCGAAAGGAAGAGCAAAGAAGCTGGCCATTCCAAAACTCGCTGCTATAGTCCCAGCAGCGTTGAGTTTAAGATTAAATCTGTTTGTACATACAAAAATTCATTTACTTATAAGCATATATGCTAGTATTTCCTGAAATTTTCAAAATCGAGTTGGTCGGTACCTGTCGTAAAAGTATCCTGAGATTGACATTGTTAATAGTCAATTCAATGCCCATTGAGAATCCATAAAGGAGGAAAAAGATCCATGTTCTATAGCTTGTGACGGCATAGTGAAAAACCTGAACAAATGAAAGCAAATCAGCATCATATTTGTTGAATCATATAATTAAAGACACCTAATTTCGTCTTTTTTTTAATACTAAAAATTATATTATATAATTTTATTTACATTCATATATTTATTTTACATGTACAGATCCATTACAAGCTCAGCAGAACGTCCTGGTGGTCCAACCCAACACGCGCAGCTCGGATCTATTGAAACCCAAACCCAGCAACCATAGCCCACTTGGAGCACCCAACGGTGGACCCGTGAACCGATCTAGACTCGAACTGCAGGTTGACCCGGAATAGTTAGGGTTGGCAAACCCTAACTTTCATGCTCAGCGTCGCATCTTGCCCCACGCCTCACGCAGCCACTCGATCAACCCGATTTTCCCGGCGATCCCTCGGTAACATCAACAATCAACAAAAGCAAAGAAATTCAGTTCGATTAGGACTCAAAAACTAGAGTCTAAAAATAGGAATTTTAGACTATAAATACATGTGTAATTAGCACCATTGGACATGATTTATATACGAGTATTACACAAAGAAAATACACGAGAAAAGCACGAATATTCGAAAGGAGAACAAGTCTTGTAATCGTTCGAAAGCAGAGAAATAAAAGGTTTAATTTCTTTTTACCTTCGTTTCGATTTTCCTTTGCTTGCATGTTGCTCTTTCCTCGGTTTTTAAAACCAATCGTCGATGACAAAAATGAGGGGTGTTCGAATCTTCCTTTCTAGATCTACACCCCCACGAGACGAATTTTAGAAAAATATGATGATTTTTGAAATGAGGGTGTTATAGGCTTTTGGAAAAGTAAAAATTTTTAAGGTTTCGTCGCCGATGACTGGCGGTCGGCGAGGCGGCGATATTGGGTTCTGGGTTTGTCACGGTGGTCGTGTTCTTCGTGGGGAAGAACACTTTGAAGGTCTATAGAGAATTTCATGGTTTGGTTTTTGATCTGTGTCGGAACCGTCTTTCGGTTGGGCCCCGGAATTGGGTTTCGACTTGAAAAATGGGTTAGAGTCACCACCGACCATTTTAAAACGAATTTAGGTGGGTCGGACACCATCTTACCTGATCTGCGTTTTTTCCAGAAATGTGTCGAGTTCGGGAGTCGGTTACGGTCAAGGAAGGATTAGCACCCTTGAACCGCCCTTTCGGTACTACGTAATTTCCAGTTGTCATGATTTAAGAAAATTGTAATTTTAAATTAAAAGGTAAAATTTGATCCTGAATTACTTACTTCTGATTGTTTTGAAAACATCCTTAAAAAACTGAGAAAATGATTAGATAATAAAAATAATAAAATTAGAATATAAAAATAAGGCGAACAAACGAAATAAAGAAAGTATAATGTACACAAAAAGAATGAATGAAATACGAATAAAATTTACAAGGAAAAATAAGAAAATTCAAATAAAGAAAAAAAAGAATAAAAATATAAATAGATAGGTAAATAAAAATATACATGAATAAAAAATATAAAAACAAAGAAAATGAAAAAAAAACAAATATGAGTAATATATATATAATAAAATAACATGTAATAAAAGAAAAATAGGTAATGTATATATATATATATATATAAACTAATAAGAATATAATATAATATAGTGTAAATAAATAAAAATCCAAATATCTATATATAAAAGAGTAAATACGAGATATAATAAAATATATACAAGTATAAAGGGGTAAAATGAAACAAAATAAAGTTAGATGGCCGAATTAGAATAAAACCAATGGAATTAAACCGATTTGGGGACCAAATTATATGTTTTTTTTTAAAACAGAGGGAGCCAAAACGAAGTTTACCCCTTTTAGCAAAACACGCGGATCCATCAAAAGCGGGTCGGGTCCAGGCGCGGGTCAAGAGCCGCTATAAAAGTTAAAAAAAAATTTAATCTTGCTCATTTCTCACTTCACCAAACGAGAGAACTTCCTTCTCTCTTTCATTTCCTCTGCCTTGTTCTTCAAGACGAAGAACAGGGTTGTGTTTTCCAGAAATCGGCCGCCGTGGCCTCCACCCGCCGCCTTGCCGCCGCCGTTGATCGGCAACGACCGCCGGTCATCGGCGGCAACCAACAAAAAAAACTGGTTTTTTGAAAGCTCTTCGCCCGCACGTTTTAAAAATCAAAGTATTTTTCCAAACCAAGCCTCGGGGAACCGTAGATCTAAGAGAGAATATCACGGTTCCCTTGTGTTCATCGGCCCCAAATCTTCTATTTTTTTCGAGTAAAACGACAAGGACATAACGCATGCAAGGGAAAGAAGTAAGAAAGGTATAAACTTTCACCTTTTTATTTCTTCTTGAAACGTTTACAAGGCTCGTTTTTTGCTGAGTAATTTCCTGTGTGTGCTCTCGTGATTTCCAGTATTTTTGTGTGTATTTCCGTATATTCCCTGAAAAGCTCTAATTACATGGCTTTATAGTGATAACCTAGGCTATTTTTAGAGTTTTAATCCGAGTAAAACTCGGTTTGTTTGTGGTGATAATCCACGATTCTGACTTGGTTGTCTTTGTTGAAACACGTTCATTGGCGTTTGCTTGATGGCCGAGAGTCTTGCGCCAGAGAACTCGGATTTGTTGGGGATAAGAAACGTGCAGCCATGGGGAGTTGAAGGGGAGAACGGCGCTAGGGTTTCTGGAAACCCTAACCTACTGGTCACGTACCTTGGGCTGTTGAGGCGTTGGGTGTAATCTTGGATCTGGGCCACCTGTACTTAGGCCATTTATTATTATTTTATTTGTAAAGGGCATGTACACAAACATAAAAAATATGTAAGTATGTATATTATGTAATGTGGTTAGACATTATTATACGAAATAACATTATTTAAAACCGATGAAATTTAGTGTCTTCAGCTGCCCCTCTTTGCTCATTGTCGTGTAACGACAATGGAGCAAAGATTAAAAGACACGAATTTTGACCATATTGAATATCCTCTGCAGTTGAGATCTGACGTTGAAACTGGTTTGTCAATCACGAAATGACATCCTCGTCGTGAGGTTGAGTCAAAACTGGAATATTTTGAGCACGAATTCCCTCGTTGTGAGGTTGAAAACGAGCTCAAAGCTTTTGGCAAGTGGTCTCTGAATCTTCTTCTGGCTCAAGGTACTTCGTCTTGAAGGTGAAACTTGACCTGAAGACTTTGGTGTTGTGGTGTCACAGATGACTTTCTCGTCGTGAAGTTGAGTCAATCTGTTTGTGAAGTTGGAATTGTATATGGCTCATTCGTCGTGAATTTGAGCCTGAAAATTGGATATCCTTCGTCGTGAAGTTGAAATCCAATGCAAGATGCGTTGTTTCGAGGCCAATATCCTTCGCTGTGAAGTTGAAATTAGCTCTAAAACCGGGAAATTACTTGTTGACAACCAGCGGTCCCTTCATTGTGAAGTTGAACTTGCGTTGTCTGGAGTCCAATATCCTTCGTTGTGAAGTTGAAATTGGGAAATTATTTATTGACAACCAGCGGTCCCTTCGTCATGAAGTTGAACTTGCGTTGTCTGGAGTCCAATATCCTTCGTTGTGAAGTTGAAATTGGCTCTGAAATTATTTATTGACAACCAGCGGTCCCTTCATCGTGAAGTTGAACTTGCGTTGTCTGGAGTCCAATATCCTTCGTTGTGAAGTTGAAATTGGCCCTAAAATTGTTTATTGACAACCAGCCGTCCCTTCGTCATGAAGTTGAACTTGCGTTGTCTGGAGTCCAATATCCTTCGTTGTGAAGTTGAAATTGGCCCTGAAATTGTTTATGGACAACCAGCGGTCCCTTCGTCGTGAAGTTGAACTTGCGTTGTCTGGAGTCCAATATCCTTCGTTGTGAAGTTGAAATTGGCCCTGAAATTTTTTATTGACAACCAGCGGTCCCTTCGTCGTGAAGTTGAACTTGTGTTGTCTGGAGTCCAATATCCTTCGTTGTGAAGTTGGAATTGGCTTTGAAATTGAGAAATGTCTGTTGACAACCAGCGGTCCCTTCGCCGTGAAGTTGAACTTGCGTTGTCTGGAGTCCAATATCCTTCGTTGTGAAGTTGAAATTGACTCTGGGTAAAACCTGCAAAGATATGCATATATGCGATGTTATGGATGTCATGCTCTTAGGTATGCCTAAAATGTATATGCAACATATGTTATTCTGGGCTCTGGAGAGAAATCTCGATCTCCGGTGGCCTGTCGTTGTTGACTCTTGATTTTGAAAGCTTGAAGTTCGATCTCTGATCTTGAATTCTTCAAATGTTTAAATCTGATGTGCACATTCTGTTTTTTTTTTTATTTGGGAGATGCTCCTCAACCATCTCAAGCATGTGCATGAGCCTTGATCAGCTTCTGGGTACCTGTACTTTTCAATGAATCTTTGTACAGTAATATGCGATTATCTTTCACAAAAAATAAATAAATCATTAGGTTTAAATCTAATTCAAGATACTCAAAAGGAATTAGAGGAAAGATTGCCTTTATTCATAAGGGAGGAGAAGAACAAATAATACATGGCAAACATTCTAGAAAACGAATACACGATGATGTGTAAATGAATGTCTTAGATCTCGATAATGTGGGCACTTCTGAGTTGAAAAGCCGTTTGGTGACCTTGAATGCAGCCTTTGACAAAGAATCTTTGAAAATGCGACAACGTTTGGGAATGTGCAACATTTCTCCGATTTGTTGAGTTCGTAGAAGATTCATGTGCCGGGATGTTTCTACCGTTAATATCCAAATCGCCCTTTCCGGGTTTTCAACTTGGACCCATCCTTGGTTGCAAGACGCCCATTGCGGGTTTTCATCTTGAACCCACCTTATTTTCTCTTCTTTTGTTTGTTTTTCTATATTTTTTTATTTTTTTTTCAATTTAGGGCGCCCTTTCGGGTTTTCACCCTAAACGTTTTTTTTTAATTTAGGGCGCCCTCTCGGGTTTTCATCC